GTTCGGAGTGTGTGTCGCCATGTTGCCCTCTCTCTTGTCCGTTACCGACCCGTCTTTGAGCTATTATGTCTCGACACGCCAAGTTTGATCACAACACCCAGAGGGTTCACAACACCCAGAGGGTTCCCAAGTTTTCAAAGCTTGGTCTTCTCTCATAAAAAAAAATTCTGTCCTTTTATTTTTTTCCGACCGATGGATACGACCGTTACTAGACCAAGACAAGTTAACCGACCGCACCGAACTTTACTCTACCAACGCGGGTCGTACGAGATCGCATTACACACGACTGCCGACCGTTATTGCCGCACACAAACGGAAGGTTCCCGAACATCCAGAGTTGTTGGCCTATCATCACCGCCCAAAATTTGCGTGGTCGAAGGTAGACCTTACCTGCGACAAGCTCGGTCAATGGACGACAAGCTCGGTGAATGGAATAACTGGCAGAAAGAAAACATGCGATTCGACGGGTACTATGGTCGTTTTCTACGCGCATTCCTGTGTTGGATATTGTTTGCACACACGTGTTTCTTGGCGTGTATGATACTGTTAGTGCAGGTCAAATGGAAGCAATGGCAGTCAAGAATGGGCTGGTTGATATGGGCTGGTTTACAGTGGATGTTGGTGGGGGGGGGCACGCATTATTGTAACGCCTAATTTTAGATTTGCCCAAAAGTTGGTTAACTTTCATTCCTGCTGGCGATTTACTCCGGCAATGCATCGACTACAGATCAGAATGTGAGCAAGATTGTGCTGGCTTTGCATTCGGACAAGGCAGCGAAAATGATCGGAGGAGCCGGGTCTGGTCAATGAAGGTCAGCCCGGCTTATCTCACGGGTCGATATGAGAAAGCTTTGGTCTTGCAAGGACTTGATCGGGCGACTTGTTGGTGAGGAATTGACATCTGAGGATGTGTTCTGAACAGCCTTGTGAACCTTAACCATTTCGTTCGGATTGATACAAACGTAACACCAATGATTTTGGTAGATCTTCTTGATACCGGCTCCTGTACCGAAATCATTGGTGTTACGTTTGTATCAATCCGAACGAAATGGTCATCAAGAGGATTTCGCGAAGACGAACAATTGCAGCAGGCCATGGCACATTTACGAAGATCTTTGGCGTGCAAGGGCGAGTAACGTGTAGGACTCGGGTTCGAATCCCGACAGTTCGAATCCCGACAACGAGGGTGCAGCAGCACATGACATTTTTGGTTAGGAACACGATGGTAGATGCTCCTACACAGAAGGCTCCCATGGCTAAGCAAGTGTATTTCCGCGGGCGAAAAATAAATTAGCCCTCACGAGGTTTAAAAAAGGATGTCGTCTCGAATGCCCTCATGGGTCCTCATTGTGTCCGGTCTAGGGGCCGGTGCTCTGGTCGCCGCCATCGTGGTGGCTTGCCTGTACCCCCATAAACCGGGTCCTTCCCCACCGGCCGATGCGGACGCCGTACTGGCTAAGATGGAAGCGGGAAGAGCCGAAAGCGACCGGATATTCGCTTGCGGGGACATACCACTAACGAATGTACCCTTAACGAACTTCACACGGATCCGGACCACCGGGGCAAGCGCGCCCCCGGGAAGCAGCATGGAAAAGTCAGCCAAGGACGTTGCAAAGGTAACTTCCCAGAGTGGCCCGCTTAAATCTCGGTGCGGTAGGATTGGGCTGTGGGGGCAGCTCCCCGAGAAGGGAGGGGGTGGGCTGACTATCCGTCAGAGGGGGCGGTCCTTGTATACGCCTTTCACGTTTACCGATTCCTTCTGCATTCGATTCTCCTGTTACTCTTGTGTTTTCGCCTGTTCTGACTTTTCCGTCACGCTCCAATGCTGGTAGGGAGTGGGTCCCGTTCGGGTCGTGACACCCTCAGATGCCTGTCGGCTGGAGGTCCAGGATGTGCGGAAAAACGGAAGTGCTACGACGAAGGATTCATCCGGACCGGGTACTTCACCGTCTGGAGTTAGTCAATACCGGAGTCATGACCGGAGTCATGATCGGAGTCATGATCGGAGTCATGATCGGAGTCATGACCGGAGTCATGATCGGAGCCTA